ATAGTTTTAAAAAAACATATTTGAAAATCTTATAAATAATTCCTTGTTATTTTTTCATGCTTTTGAAACGAAAAAAGGTGCCAATATCAAATGTATGGCAAATCTAGAGAAAATCATTTTCTGACAAATTTTCAATGGCTGATATCTCGAAAACAAGCACACTTCATTCTTTTCTGCTTTTTTAGTTCCTTTATTTACATACTATCAATATTAATAACAGTCTTTTAACTAGCTTGTTATTTTGAAATAGAGCGAAAATCCTTAAGACAAAACTACTCTCTTACTTGACGACGTCACTTCCGGGCAGATGATAGATTAGATGACTCTGCCACAGGAAGTTTTCAAGACTCAGATCGACGTCCGTTCCTCAAATCGACATCCAAATCTGACGTCACGTTCCCAAATCAGTGTCCAATATTTTAACCAACTAATCGACGTCCAATGTGACATAATAAATCACAAAAACGACGTCCCATCGATGAGGAGACTCTCATCGCGATGTCTAATTTAATTGAATCATTTATTTTTAAATTGATCTTTGTTTATATTATCTGTATCGTTTTGTCTTTTTGTGAAGTAGCTTACAGAGACTATAACTGTTTTCTTATATTATTATTAAAATAAAAGGACAAACATCAGAAAAAGACATAATATGATGTTGGTGATTGTCTTAATCACTAACATCATATTACTGTTACATGTACATGCATAAAATTAATATTTTGGTGAAAGACTTTCTTATTCACGACCTATGTTGTCGTTTTCCGTTCTTTTTCATATAACTAAATGACATGTGGGTTTACATTGTACGAAAATGAGACAACAACCCAAAAACTAAGATAATCAAAAGACATCTAGAGGTCAGTATACAGACTCAAATAATAGAAAGAATAATAACGTACAGCCAATGATTGAAAAGTATTATGATTTGGACTTATATTTTTCAACATCTATTTAAGTTTTAGGTTCAACCCACCCTTTAATAAAATTGTGACATCACTGCGACAAGCCCCCAAACGAACGTCATTTAGAGAAGCCAAAAAACTGGACGTTGATTCGAGAACAACAAAAATGACGTCGATTAGAGGGGCATACAATTGGCCGTCGATTTGGTATGTTATTTTGTAGAATATTATTGTGACGTCAGATTTGGACGTCGATATGAAGAACGGACGCCGATTAGAGACCGGACGTCGATTTGAGTCTTACATATATATTAAGTTTGTTTACACTAAGTGTTTTTAAGATAACAGAGCATGTGGTAATTATCAATGACACAATTATTGAGTGACAGATTTAGTTGAAAATTTTGTATTTCCTTAGTGTTGTTGATGATAAGCTCTGTAGGACTTTATAAATATAGTTTGAAATTTACTGTTCATTTTTTAGACATTTTGAAGATAATTACAGATAAGTTTTATAGATTTTTAAAAGATATTGTATTAATGATAAATGATATTTTTGAAGTTTTGTGTTCTTTTCTTTGGTAAATTGTTTGAAGAATTTTGTGGTAGGTTTGTTTGTTATTCTGTATAAATTAATTTTTTAAATGCTATATATATTTATTTTACTTGATCCTGTTTATGGGTCCAGATTTGCAAATATCATTTTCATGCAGAAAAAAATCCGTTTTGCTGTCACTCTAACAGCCTCTTGTTGCCCATTATCTTGAAAACTATTATAGATACAGACAGACTTTGAAATGCAAAAATGTTCAGCAAGACAAGATCTACAAATAAGTCTCATGATCGAAATCGTCAGTCGACTCCTTATTAGAGTTATAGCCCTTTGATGACGTTTTTACCATTATTTTTCTTTTGTGTTTTTTGCCTTATATCGTAAAAATTATAATAGATAGATAGAAACTTAATTAAGAAAAAATAATGAGCAAGACAAGATCTACAATTAAGACAAGATCCGACGACTCCTTATTGGGGTTATTGCCCTTTAATGTCATTTTTTTACCATTTATTTTGTGTGTTTTGTCTTATATGATAAAAATTATAATAGATAAATAGAACCTTTAATTAACAAAAATGATCAGCAAGGCAAGATCTACAAACAAGTAAGAGTTTGCCAAAACAGTTCGTAGACTGTCACTCATTATTGGAGTGATTGCCCTTAAATGAGGATTTTTGTTTACCCTCTTTTGTGTTTGAGTAAAATCTAAAGAAGATAGGGAGAAACTAAACAGACAAAACTATCAGCAATACTAGATCAACATAAAAGATTTTTGTCATAATTTTTTTATCATCTACAATGAGAGTGTCCTTTGTTGAATATGTACAAAGCATTAGGTGAGCCACACAGGCTCTTTAGATCCTCTAGATTTTATGAAAACTTGATTATTTCCTTGTTTAACAAAAGGTCTTTATCATTGACTGCATATTATTAATAAAAAATAAAACAAATAGGTCAAGTCGGACTTATTTATTTCTACAAAGTAAAGTATATAACACCATGGTACAAGACGTATCATTATTTACACACAAAAAATAGGCTTATCACTACAATAAAAAATACCATATACATTTTTATACCGAAGTTTAGGGATATATAGGAATCACCCTGTCCGTCCATCCAGCTTCGTGTCCGGTTCATTACTTTTGTACTGTACAACTTATGTTAACCAAACTTGGTATGGTGTTGCATCCTGGGGTAAGGGTGTGTTTTTTACCAGTCAGGTCACTGACCTTGACTTTGACCTTTGACATCCGATGTTAAAACCTTGTATGATTTGTGTCTTGCTCATAACCTTCAGGGGCAGATCCAGCCATTTTTAAAAGGGGGGTTCCAATCATATGCCCCATTCAAAAACATTGATCGTCAAAAAAGGGGAGTTCGGACCCCCCCCCCCCCCCCCCCCCCTTTTTTTTTCGATCCGCCACTGACCTTTGTACCATAAAACAGGTCGATCAAAGTCGGGGCACCACTCTGAACTTGACTTTGACCCTAATGATTGTAAAATCTTTTCTGATTTGTGTGTCCTGTGCATACTTTCGTACCATAGAACTTATAGGTAGAAACTTGGTATGCTGATGCATCACGGATTGGGCTGTGTCATATATCAAAGTCAGGTCATTCTGTCATTGACTTTGACCCCTATGATAATTACACATTGTCTGAATTGTATTATGATTTGGACTTATATTTTTCAACATCTTTTTAAGTTTTAGGTTCAACCCACCCTTTAATAAAGTTGTGATTTCACTGCGACAAGTCCCCAAACGGACGTCAATTAGAGAAGCCTAAATTGGACGTTGATTCGAGAACAACAAAAAAGACGTCAATTAGAGGGGAATAAAATTGGCCGTCGATTTGGAACGTTATTTTGTAGAATATTATTGTGACGTCAGATTTGGACTTCGATATGAAGAACGGACGCCGATTAGAGAGCAGACGTCGATTTGAGTCTTACATATCTAATATAGTATTTATGACAAACAACCTACAACCAAGGTAGGTACATGTAATTGAAATGAAAAGGGCAAGTCACGAGATACAAATCTCATGAATAAAGTACCGAGTATTTTGCCATATGTTGTTCATTAACCTAGGCAGCTAGAATAAACCTATATATAAATATATATAGGGTTGGACGTTGTTTTCAATTTAGACTTGTTTGTATATATATATATATATATATATAAGTCTGAAAATTACACCCAACAGTGTTAGAATTAGACTTTTATGCTGACAAATTTTTGTCCCTCAACGGGATTCGAACTCACACCTTTGATACACTACAGCACCAATCGCTTAGCCTCATGTCCAGCGCTCTAGACCACACGACCACATCCGCTATATTAAAATATAACTTCAATAGTCGTAGTGTTACCTTGTCACGTAAGGCGAATCTAGAGATAGACATAAGACATGTGTTTTAAGCGTGTGAAGATGTTATATTATTATTAAATACACAATGTATTTGTTATTTGTCAGCAATCTAACTCAACAATTTTTATATACCGTATGGGATAATGATTCAATTCATTATACAGTCACTAGAAATAAGTATATCATACAAACAAGTCTAAGCAAGTGACAACCATACAATATATATGCCCACTGGATCTCAGTGTGTTTGAGACGCAGGGTTAATACAAATATTTATATAAGTCTGAAAATTACACCCAACAGTGTTAGAATTAGACTTTTATGCTGACAAATTTTTGTCCCTCAACGGGATTCGAACTCACACCTTTGATACACTACAGCACCAATCGCTTAGCCTCATGTCCAGCGCTCTAGACCACACGACCACATCCGCTATATTAAAATATAACTTCAATAGTCGTAGTGTTACCTTGTCACGTAAGGCGAATCTAGAGATAGACATAAGACATGTGTTTTAAGCGTGTGAAGATGTTATATTATTATTAAATACACAATGTATTTGTTATTTGTCAGCAATCTAACTCAACAATTTTTATATACCGTATGGGATAATGATTCAATTCATTATACAGTCACTAGAAATAAGTATATGTTAGCCAAAGACTGAATCATTAAAATATTTATCACAGATGTAATCATTAAAATGTTTACCACAGAATTAATCATGATAATTTTTACCATTGATGTATTCCTTGAAATGTTTACCACGGATGAAAATGTTAACCACAGATTGAATCATGAAAATGTTTACCCTTATGTAATCATAACAAGAATGTGTCCATAGCACACGGATGCCCCACTCGCACTATCATTTTCTATGTTCAGTGGACCGTAAAATTGGGGTCAAAACTCTTATTTGGCATTAAAATTAGAAAGATCATATCATAGGGAGCATGTGTACTAAGTTTCAAGTTGATTGGACAGACGGACGAACGGACGGACGATCGAACGGACGAACGAACGAACGAACGAACGCACAGACCAGAAAACATAATGCCCCTAATACTATTGTAGGCGTGGCATAAAAATGTTAACCAAATATTGAATCATTAAAATATTTATCACTGATGTAATCATTAAAATATTTATCACGGATATAATCATTACAATGTTAATACAACAGATGTAATCCTTAAAATGTTAACCAAAGATTGAATCATTAAACTATTTATCAAGAATGTAAACATTAAAATGTTTACCATAGGTTTAATAATAAAAATGTTTACCACTGATGTATTCATTGAAATATTTACCATGGATGTAATTGTTAACCACGGATGTAATGATAAAAATGTTTTCCACAGATCTAATCATCATTACGTTTATTATAATGGACAATTCATTAAAAATTAAAAATGTTAACTTTGGATAAATCAATCAAATGTTAACTGTAGATAATTACTCATTTAAATGTTAACCATAGAGTAACTCCTTGTTGCTTTTAAAATGACGTAATAATTTAGAAATGTTAACTATTTGATGAGCATTTCAAAATTATATTATTTATATATTTTTAAGTGATATTGCCATTTCCCTCTGTATTTTTTCACTCACAAAAGCTGGTTAAACCTAAAAGAATTTCAATTTTAAATCTATGCATTGTATAATTAAAGAAAATATCAATTTTAGTAAAACTCATTTTATTTAATGCCAAAGTATTTTTTTTTTAAATATCTTTAAAAATAAGAAGATGTATTATGATTGCCAATGAGACAACTCTCCACAAGAGACCAAATGACATAGAAATTAACAACTATATGTAACCGTATGACCTTCAACAATGAGCAAAACCCATACCGCATAATATGCTATAAAAGGCCCCGAAATGACAAATGTAAAACAATTCAATCGAGAAAACTAACGGCCAGATTTATCTACAAAATAATGAACGAAAAACACATATGATACATAGCACCAAACCACGTGCTTGCCTGTTGTTTGTTGTTGTTACAAATTTACATTTGATTGTGTTAGGAAATATATTTGGTTAATATGAGTAAATAGAATTGAGAATGGAAACGTATATTTTACCTGTTTGAGAGATTGTAACTGATTGGTTTTCATTTTTTTCAGTTGAATTTTATATTCATCTGCTATTTCATTGACCTGAAATAAAAACCTTATTATAATAACATAATAAAACATAAACCTTTTTTAGTTACTTATGATTTATCTTTCTTGTATAAAAAATAATCATAGTGTGCACGTGCTTGTGTGTGTGTAAAACACGGGAAACTCAACGAGAAAGATACAATACAGATAAATGAGGGTCTGAACGGGATTTACAGTAAAGAGAATAATACTACAAAAAAATGGACCAAAAAATAAAGAAAAGAGAAAAATAGGCCAAAATAAAGAATAGAGAATAATTGGTTTCTTAAATATGAGGAATAGAGAAAAATGGCTCAAACAATTACAGAATACAGAATTGGAGGACCTCCCATCCATTCCCTTATCAGTACAATCTAAAATCTTTAACTGAAAAAATACATTGTTTAAATATGTTATATGCAGTTGGTATTTCTCGGCCTAATAAAAATTAAATGTGCTAAATTTGGAGTTCTCGGCCACACACAACAATGTTTGTGACAACACCACGTGGCATATGTCTTTTCCAACAGAAAAATCATTAATTATTTAAAATTAAGAACTATGGATCCTTGTTCTATCTCTGTTTCGCGTCGGTTGGTCAAGCAGACAACCAGGATCCCAGGTTGCAGAAAGTATAGGTAAGTTTAAACGATAAACTTGCTATAAATATGTTTCATCGTAAGAAACGGCTTAACTTTATTATAATTTTGAATTCAGTTTTACCCCACTGCGAGTGATAGAGAAATCGTAATTTTGACGGGAGAGTAGCAAGGTTAATTTACGTTATAGCTAATAAAAACAATATGACATGAGATCGTCCATTTCGTGTGTTTTACGCTGTTAATCAATTAGTTATTTTGTGATATCGAGATTAAAAGTATTCATCTCAAACGTACCAATGGCAACAGGTAAAACTGTTAGTGGACTAAAAGTAATGTCGTCCCTTTACCTTCAATGTGAAAGGTCAAGGTCATCTGAGGTCATCGTTAATGGTACATGGCACATCATCAAAAGGTGATGCACTCATGTGCCTAATATCATAAGGATTTGTTAAAGGATACACAAGTTATGTTATGGATATGAAAATGCCCTAAAACTATTCGGGTATTCTGACCTTGAGATAAAAGGCAAAGGTCCTTATAATCTTTTTCACGGGCTAATCCTAAGTTGGTTTGAAAAGGTCGTGCAGTGGTAAGCAAGAATATATTTGGATTTCGGAAGGACATACCAAAATAAGTTATATGACTGTTAAGGTCATCTTCAATTGCACGTGTCGAATCGTCCTAAAGTGATACATTCATATGCCAAATATGATAAGCCTATGTCATTCTAGAAAAAATCAAGTATTTTGACCTTAGGGTCAATAGTCAAGGTCACGGTCACATAGGTCACACATGGCGATATGCGACACACCGTCTTGTCGTTATAAACCTTCATGCCAAATATCATAAACCAGTGTCAACAGATTAAAATCTATAGACTGGACAACAAGAGAACACAATTAAAACATATATAATGTCTAGATAGAAGTACTAATTACAAAAATCTGATGTCAAAAGCAAAAGAACAAATGTCAAAAGTACTAATGTCAATCTTGATAATCATAATTTCAATCGGACTCACGACACAGTACACGGATTTATTTTAAAGGACTGAGGGTTTTGTGCAATGATGCTGTTGAAGGGTTTTGCGATTTGCCTCCATCAATCTGCTGAAATTTCAGATACGAACATAACGAAATCAGAGATCTATATTTGTATTATATTGTGCCTCCATATCTTACCTTTTGTTGCACAGTAGCACTACTGTTGTTAAGTTCCAGTACACAATTTCCTTTATGGCGCAGATCGAGGCATTCTGAGTATGTGTCCTACAATGTAATACAATGTCATGAAATTGGCCAATCAGAGGGTTATAGTTAAGAAATAAAAGAAAGCTGGAAATAAGTAAAAATAAGATGAATATATGTTGCATTGAGAATCAGAATCACTGTGTTGCTTTTCTCACAAAATGTGTTCTCGATGCTACAACTTACTGAGCTCACGTAAGTTAAGGCGAAAAATAGTCTTATATGACCTTCACTGATGGACAAGTGCTTCAACCAAATGACATGCGTTCATTTTTTTAAACATTTGCCACTGGACGTTAAACAATCAGCTAATTATAAATTTCCCATGTTAAAAATATATACATGTCTCCTGCTATAAACAAAGGAAGCACTGTCAAGACCAAATTGTGCCCATTTAATAATCGAAACGAAAAAAAAAAGCACAGTGTCAGTGAATACATGACAAGGTTCTACGTTGAAATTTTGTGCTAGAGCAAACAAACCCATAGCCATCACTTCTATTCAATACTATGTAAAAGGGATAACAAGAGTTACCAAAAAATATTAGACAGTACAATAGACTACACTTGTACCTTCCGGAGCACCTGAAATCAACCCCGGTTTTAGGAGGTTGTTCAGTCTTTGCCTTTCTATTTTGTGTATTGTGTACCGTTGTTTGTCTTATCATCATTTTTCTTTTTTGTCATTGCATTGTGAGTTTGTTGGATTCTTTCGCCTCTCTTTTACACTAGACTCAAAACAAATAAACGTTCAAACAAGAAAATTTTCTTTTGAACAGACTGCCCAAATATTATAACATGTCAAAACAGGTATAATCAATGAAGGAATACTTACTATTACAACAGTGAGAAGTATTTTTGTTGCTGTTCTCTGATTTCCTGTCACTTGCTCTATTTCCTCAATTGTGTCCGTCCATTCATTATCAAATACATTAGAGAATTTCTCTACCAGACTTAATGGTCTGTCTGGATCACTTAGGTCTCTGATTGCGGGTTCGTTATTTTCCAGATGATTTCCCATCATTTCATTCAACCTAAAATGATTATGAACTGAAAGAATGTGATTTAACTATCTTCCATAATGGATAAATCTTTTGGGGACGTGACCACGATTTTTATTGTATATCTTATCTACCATTATCCAGAGCTGTATTTTGTGTCAATTAAGATGTCTTGGATAATTCATTTTAATCTATACACAAATCTAGACGATTTAGAGACTGATACAAACACCATCTGTTGTTGAGGGATGTATGTCTTCTGGTTATTTATATCGTTGGGTTTTTGTCTCATTGCTATATAATGTATATCTGAATATCAGTAAGCATTATTTGGATGTCCTAACATGCTGAACATATATCAGCTGAATAACAGTGGGCATTATTTGTATGTCTTACATGCCGGACATTTATCTGAATAACCGTGGGCATTATGTGTATGTCTGACATGCTTGACATATATCTGAATAACAGTGGGCAATATTTGTATGTCTGACATGATTGACATATATCTGAATAACAGTGGGTATTATTTGTATGTCTTACATGCCGGACATTTATCTGAATAACAGTGGGCATTATGTGTATGTCTGACATGCTTGACATATATCTGAATAACAGGGGGCAATATTTGTATATAGAAAAAAGAAGATGTGGTATGAGTGCCAATGAGACAACTCTCCATCAAAATCACAATGTGTAAAAAAGTAAACAATTAAAGGTCAAAGTACGGCCTTCAACACGGAGTCTTTGCTCACAAAGAACAGCAAGCTAAAAGGGCCCAAAAATGACTAGTGTAAACAATTCAAACAGGAAAACCAACGGTCTAATCTATATAAAACACGAGAAACGAGAAACACTTATGAACAAAAACAACAAACGACAACGATTGAACAGGTTACTGACTTAGGACAGGTGCAAACAAGCGGGTTTAAACGTTTTAACAGGCGCCATCCTTTACCCTAACCTGAAACAGTAGTGGTTATTTATATCGTTGGGTTGTTTTCTAATTGCCATAGTCAATGTATATCTGAATATCAGAAGGCATTATTTGCATGTCTGACATGCTGGACATATATATGAATAACAGTGGACATTATTTGTATGTCCGACATGCTGGACATATGTTTGAATAACAGTTGGCATTATTTGTATATCTGACATGCTAGACATTCCGATTCCTGGTCAGACCACCTTGTTTGATCGGTATATTGTTATTGTCAGTTACTAATTAAGGGTATTACAGATACAACTTATATTTGAAACTGATTCAATTTTAATTGAATGAATGTTATTCTTTTCTGTGTTTTTTATGATGATTTCTCTATTTTCTAATATTTGAATTATCACAAGAACTATATGCCAGAAGATATTACTATTTAATTCATTATTCAACATAAAAAGTAGTTCCGAATTTTGAACAAGTGAAAAAATAAAACTTTTTAACAAAAACAAATATATAAATGAAGTATCATTATCAAATACATTAGAGAATTTGATCACCAGACTTAATGGTCTATCTTGATCACTTAGGTCTCTGATTGCGGGTTCGTTATTTTCCAGATGATTTCCCATCATGTCATTCAACCTAAAATGATTATGAACTGAAAGAATGTGATTTAACTATCTTCCATAATGGATAAATCTTTTGGGGACGTGACCACGATTTTTATTGTATATCTTATCTACCATTATCCAGAGCTGTATTTTGTGTCAATTAAGATGTCTTGGATAGTTCATTTTAATCTATACACAAATCTAGACGATTTAGAGACTGATACAGACACCATCTGTTGTTGAAGGATGTATGTCTTCTGGTTATTTATATCGTTGGGTTTTTGTCTCATTGCTATATAATGTATATCTGAATATCAGTAAGCATTATTTGGATGTCCTAACATGCTGAACATATATCAGCTGAATAACAGTGGGCATTATTTGTATGTCTTACATGCCGGACATTTATCTGAATAACAGTTTGCATTATGTGTATGTCTGACATGCTTGACATATATCTGAATAAGAGTGGGCATTATTTGTATGTCTGACATGCTTGACATATATCTGAATAACAGTGGGTATTATTTGTATGTCTTACATGCCGGACATTTATCTGAATAACAGTGGGCATTATGTGTATGTCTGACATGCTTGACATATATCTGAATA